TTTTTAACAAAAAAACGAAGTCCAGATGGCATGATTCAACCTTTTTTCATGTGTTAACTAGTTTTATGCATCAGTTGTCACAGATTTAAATCATGTAGGTGAGTCAATGGATGCACATCTTGTTTTTTCTCCTTTACCATGAGCTTCTTCATGTTTTAATTTACTCTCCATTTTTCCATTTATCTGCTCAAACATGTTTTTTTTTTCCAGTTAAACAGCAGCAGAGAAATTGATTGTTGTGATAAACTTACATTGACTGGCTCCAGGCGCTTCCACCTAAATATGAAGACGGTAACGGGGCAGGTCGTGCTGTTTACCTAAACAAAAACAAAACTTATTGATGAAGCTGACAATGTTTAACCGACTGAAGATGGTTTGTGTAAGTGTTAGAGGCGTTGATTAGTCTGGGAATGTTTAACTTGACGCAATAAAACACTTTAAATGAGCGCGTTTGTGAGCTCAGTGAGCAAAAGGAGGGAGGAACTCTGAAAGTACAGCAGACAGATAGTTTATAAAACAGTTTGGGGTTGTGAAAGGAGGGTGGGCAGCAACAGGCCGGGCGGCAGGAGGAGGAAAGCATGAGGGGACATCTTCTCTGGCTGATGGTCGGTCTCTCGTTTCTGGGGAGCCTGCTGATCACTCTCGCCTGGTTCACGCTGGACAACAAGTAAGATCCTCTTCCATCCGAGGAAACGTGCTTCCAGTAAAGTGTTAGAGAAGCAGGTTTTTTTTAACCTCTTTGATTTAAGATAAGTTGCCGAAGTAACATAAATGTTAACATTTAAACAACCGAATGCATCTGACAATAATTATTTTTAAAAAAGTCGTTTATTTTGCGTTCTGTGAATCACAGTGAGAACATCCTCTGCAGATGAATTCCTTTTTTTTGGATGTGATCCACGCCTGTAACCCAAAGATATTCAGTTTTTCTGTGGTTGGGGTTAAAGAGGAGCCAGATTTGGTGTGGCTCAGTGACAACGATGCTGGAGACGTGATGTTAAAATGACCTTTTTGTTGCTTTTTACTGCCTTCTCTGTAATGAAACCTGTTTTACACATTTTGACAATCAGAAACAGAATCTGTGGATGTTTCAATCTAAACTTTGCAGCCTGCGTTTGATGTGAAGCTAAAATGCTACCATCTAGTGTTTGACCCATTGATGTGGGGTGCCGTTTGTAAAGTTACACCGTCAACAATTAACAGCAATATTTTGGTTTATTTAGCCTTTCGTAAGGAAAAAAATGTTTTTTTCAAAGTCATATTTTCACCATGTCATACATTTATAAATGTCATAGTTCCAAATTTAATATTTAATTTACAAGCTAAATATTTATTTTCCAAACTAAATACTTAACTTGATAGTTAAATAACTAAATAAATAACTAATAAATAATAATAATATATAATAATAATATAATAAATAAAATAAACAACTAAATACTTAACTTGATAGTTAAATATTTAGTTAGCAAGCTAAATATTTAGTTCCACACTAAATAGTTTACAAACTAAATGTTTATATCCAAGCTAAATTTTTAATTTACAAACTAAATATTTAACTTGCAAGTTAAATATTTAGTTAACAAATTAAATATTTGGAAATGAAATGTTTAGTTTGGAAGATAAATATTTAGGTTTGAGCTAAATCTTTAGTTAGCAAATTAAATATTTAGTTTAGGAATTAAATGTTTAGCTTAGAAATTAAATGTTTGGAAATTAAAATGGAATAAAATATTTAGTTTGGAAATTAAATGTTTAGTTTTGAAAATAAATATTTAACTTGGAAATTAAATTTTTAATTTACACCTAAAAATTTAGTTCATTAACTAAATATTTAGTTTGTAAATTAAACATTTATCTTAGACATAAACATTTAGCTTGTAAACTAAACATTTAGGGTGGAGCTAAATATTTAGCTTGCTAACTATTTAACTTGCAAATTAAGTATTTAGTTTGTAAACTAAATATTTAGCTTTTAATTTAAATATTTATTTAGGAACTATGACATTTATAAATGTATGAATGACATGGTGAAGATATGGCTTTGAAAAAGAAAACTTTTTTTTCTAAATAAATCAAAATATTGTTTTTAATTTTTGACGGTGTAACTTTACAAACGGCACCCCATACATTGAAACCAATTATAAATTCACTTTTTGAGCCCATGTGCATTATATGATAAAACAATGCATTCCTTGTTGTTAAAAGGTAAATGGACTCTTCTTATGTAGCTCCTTTCCATCGGATCAAGATACTCAAAGCACTTTACAACAATCCGTGTCCTCATTTACCCATTCATCCAGCACTTTACTATATTTATACAAAGACTAATCAGAGTCTGACTTTTTAAATGAAATTATTTATCATTTTCTGTAAGTCTGTTGTGGAACAAGTGAAATAGTTACATAGGGAAGAAAGAAAGTAAAACTGGAAAGTTTAACGTGTTAAAACTATAATAAAACAATATTTTTTTATTACTCATTTCCCTCAAGTCGTTATTGCTTTACTGTTACTTTTATTGAAGCAATACAATATGCCATGCCAATTTATTTATAAAGCACTTCAAAACAGCAGCAAGGCCAACCAAAGTGTGGATGCAGAATAAAATACATAAACTTCACAGAGGTAAAGATAATAAAGTAAATGACTAAAATAATAAAAACACAGTGAAGTTAAAAACTGGAGCGAAAGCCGAGGGATAAACGCGAGTTTTTTAAACGAGACTTAAGCACAGTGAGAGTGGGAGCCTGCCGGGCATGCAGCGGCAACTCGTTCCACAGTTTAGGACCTGCAGCAGAGAACGTTCTGTCACCTCGGAGCTTTAACGAGTTCCTGGAACCAATAAAAGCTTCTGCTGACCTCAGAGAGGCTGTGCGACGTATGGCTGCAGCAGATCAGTGAGACAGGTGGGGGCAGAACTGTTCGGAGATTTAAAAACATACAGAAGAATTTTAAAATAAATTTGAAAGTGAACTGGGAGCCAGAACTGGAGAAATGTGCTCTCTTTTGTCTGTACCAGTTAAAAATCTGGCTGCAGCATTTTGAACAATTGCAAACTTTTTGGATTCAGGGACCCCCTCATAACCCTCATGTTTATTAAATAATTTTCTTCAATTTGTCTCTTTAATACAATGGAAATATTTGTGTAACATAAATACTTTTTTTTTTTTAAATAGTGAAAATGCAATTTTTTATACTTTTAAAAGATGGGGTATTTTTCATTCAAGACACACTTAATTAACTTTTAAAAAATTATTAGTTCAACTTCCAAAAACTACAGTTTTAAGAAAATTAACTGTATCAAAAACCATTTAAAAATTGTACCTGTTCACATAACGAACATAATAAATGTATCACCACTTCAGCGCTTTTCAGATCAGCCACTGTTTCTGATGGAAACTCCAAAACAGCCGAATTGATCCTTTACGCCAAAAGTCGAGCTCACAGCTTCTCCAGATTACTCCACCTTCATGTGTGCTGCTAGAGAGTCCGCAGTTCTGATAACAGCTGCTCCAGCTCTCTGATGCAATTGTACATAATTCAGTCTGAGCGCTGCCAAGTTTGGAAACATCCACACAAATTTGTAGACAATCCAGAATTCACCAGCCAAACAGCAAAAAACCAGTTGTCATCATGAATCCAATTTGTTTCCGTCGAGGTACGAGGGTCCTCCTTACCCCGACTCCTGTCGGGAGAAGTTGAAGTCCTTGGATAAGATAACAGCAGTGGTCAGACCAAGTAACAGGGCTTCATTTTTAAACCCATCGAGCTCAAATAGGAGGCGGGCCAAGGGGGTGGGAGTGGTCTGGGGGGGTCCTCCCTCAGAAAATTTTGAATGAATTAGATGTGATTTCTTGCATTTTGGTGTATTTTAACGGACTGTTAAACATCGATGTGCTTTTAAAGAAGAAAGAAAAAAAAATTATATATATATACATGTAATTTTTTTGCGGACCCCCAATGGCTGGCTCGTGGAACCCGGGGGTCCTGGGACCACAGTTTGAGAACTACTGCAGTAGAGGTCTGACTTATTCCAGAAAGAAGAAGCACATTGCGGTAATCAAGCCTGGATGTAGCGTTTTACTGTCTCTCGGTTACTTTTGGGAGCAGCACAGTGGTGCAGTTGGTAGAACTGCTGCCGCTCAGCGAGCAGGTTACCCTGGTTCAAATCCCTGTCCAGAGGCCTTTCTGGGTGGAGTCTGCGTGTTCTCTCCGTGCATGCGTGGGTTTTCTCTGGTTTCCTCCCACAGAACAAAAACATGCACGTTAGACTGATTGGTAACTCTAAATTGTCTCTAAGTGTGAGTGAGACAGTGAATGGTTGTTTGTCTCAATGTGTCCCTGTGATGGACTTGGGACCTGTCCAGAGTGTCCCCAGCCTCGCGCACAGTGATTGCTGGATATGGACACCAGTGACCCCCGCGACCCAAAAAGGAAGAAATGAGTAAAGATGATGGATGGATGGTTACTTTTGGACAGTATGGGCTTCGGTTTCTTGCGTCTCATTTCTTGCTTTTCTTTCACGCGTGGTTTCTATTTGCTCTAAAGCACTTTGTGTTACACTCCGCTCAACGTTTTATGACACCTCCCTTTGGAGAGTTTTTTTGGACGTGTCCAACTGGAACGAGACCCCGGGGCAGACCCAGAACTCTCTGGAGGGATTGTCTGGGAACGCCTTGTGGTCCTCCAGGAGGAGCTGGAGAGAATCGAAGCTCTGGCTCTTCCAGCCAACTCTCTCTCATCCACAGCTGCAGCAGGTTTCTACTTAACCACGAGTCCACACCTGCACCTGATTAGAGGGACGACTCTGGAGGAGAATAAAAGCCTCAGCCAATCGCTCCTTCAGCGACGGGACATTATCCTATGTTCACTTCCAAGTCCTGGGTTCCTACCACCTTCCTAGGCCTCTGCGCGCCTCGTGTTTGCTACTCGTCAAGATTTTGTCCCGACTCCTAACCCTAACCCTCTCTCCAACGGTACTCACCTGTTCTCAAATGAAGAAACCTCCTGGAACCAGAACCTCACAGCCCTCTCCTCAGATTCCATCTACAAGAGAAACACTTTTAAGCAAGACATTCATCTTCTCTCTCATGTGAAAGATACTCGACTCACCTCAAGTACTCACCGTGTCACCTCTTCCTTTTCAGCACCCGATCCCTCACCGGTAAATAAAAACATTTATTTTTGTTTACTCTGTCTGTGTCTTGTTCGGTCCACCACTTGGGGTCAAAACTACTGAAATCATGTTACTGGGTTTTTCTCCTGGACCTGTTGCCTTGGCGACCCGACTACAGGTGGTAGAAGATGGAGATGGAGGTGTACTTTAACAGCTTTTTACAGGTCCATCAAACATATCCATGTTAATGGTTAAAGGAGCTACAGCATGAAATGGTGTTTTGTGTAAAAATAATACAAATCCCACATTCCAGAAATCCTGACAAACATCTTTGGAACACCACCCAGAGCATTTCTGTATCTCCAGGGTGAAGCTGCTTGAAGGACGTCTTTATTTTAATTTTTTTTTATCTTTTTCCTGTTTTTCTCACAGAAATGTGGATCCTCACCGTCGACACCTTCAGCCTAAAGGTTCATGTAAAAACTGCTGGTGAGAACAAACTGCTGCGTTTTTTTCTTCAGGGGCGTCTTTGTTCATGTCGTCATCCAATAAAGCTCATTTTGTTCCTGTCATCATCCAATAAAGCTCACTTAACGTGTAAATGTGTCGCAGGGAAGATAAAAATAAAGTCATAAATGTTTGTTCTCAAACCTGGAAGAAAGAAGGCAAACACCAAAAATCCAGGTAAGAATGTTTTAATTTGATAGATTTTGTAGTAAACCTCAATCTGCACAGGTGCTGCTGCTAAAAGAAGGATTTTTAATTAATATTTTATTTTACCCGTTCTTATTTTAATCACAGTAAAGTGGAAGCTCAGCCTCCTGAAATCAAAACCGCCCCTCAGGTGTCTGCTTCGTGTAAAGACTGCAGGTGAGAACAAAGTACTGAGTACTGTGTACACCTTTTCCTTTGACGACATCTTTTTATGGCCTTATCTCTAAAAACAGAGTCGTGTGTTGCAGGAAAAAAATCAAGAAATTGTTGGAGTTTTACGTTCAAGACTGGAAGAAAGACGAACGCGACAGCCGAGAACTCAGGCGAGGATGTCCCCGAAAGCCTCTTCATTCATTTTATTCTTGTTTAAATAAATAAAAAGGATTCCTGATTAAAAACAAGGCAAAACAATCAAACTTTTAAATAGTATGAAAAAAAAAAACAGTCTCCAAATTTATCATTATTTACAATTTTGAAGTCAATTTGATTTTTTTTTTTTTTAAAACTTTGAAGACCAGAAAGTAGTTTTATAAACTTTAAAACTGAACTCCTCAACAAACATTTTTTTCTGGCTTGCATTTTTAAGGTTGCTTGGATGAAAAATTCCTTTCATTAAGTTGAGAAAGTAAATATTTTAAGCATAAATTAATTTAAACGTGGTGTGAAAATATTGTTAGGAATAAAAAAAAAATGTGGTAATAAATAAAGAAAAATTGGGAATACAATCATCAAAACATTTTATATTAAGTTCTTGATTATTAACAGTTTTGTCATATTTTAGATGGGATCAAACGTCTTTGTCTACGTCATTTTGTAAATTGGAAGCTGAAAACAATCACTGATTTAAATAGAGAAATTGCATTTCCTGTGAAAAATGCAGTGTGGATGCTTTTTTCAGAAGAACTTGCTGAAAAACAGCTGAAATTAGCTTAAAAAACATGCTGAAATGGAAGAACAAGCCTAAGTTAATAGAAGAAAACAGAACACGTTTTTTGCTGAATTATGTTTAAATGAGCAGAAATGAGCCCAAAAATTAGAAAATTTGCTAAAAAGCTGAAATTAGCTTAAAAAAAAATAGCTGAAAAGTACTTTGTAGCTGAAAATGCTTAAAAAAACAGAAGGAAGTGGAAGGAGCTGAAACGAGCTAAAAGAAATGTGTAATTAGCTGAAAAAGCTTGAATTTATCACAAAACAGCTATAACAGAAAAAGTTGGAACTAGCAGAAATAAGCTGAAAGGAGCATATTAGCAGAAATAAGTTAGAAGAAGCACAAAAATGTTGTAGTTAGCAGAAAGAATCTGCAAGGAGCTCTAAACAACTGGAAAAAAGCCCAGCTGAAATTAGCTGAAAGTAGCTGAAAAATGTTAAAATTTTCACAAGGAAGCTGAAAGAAGCTGAAGCAGAACAAAATGTGACAGGAGCAGTAAAAGGTTGTAAACAGAGCTAAAGATTTGAAGGATGTAAAATGAGCTCAATTAATTTTCTACAAGGAAAAAAAAAAAGGCAGAAAAGGCTAAATTTTTCAAAAAGCTAAAGTTGCACCAATACCAAAAGTCATAGCAGGAATGTCCTGAACGAGCCGAATGTTTTGATTTATGATTTGTTGGAATAACACAAAATTTGTGGAACAAGAAAGATGCCGAAAAATGTACAGAAGAAAAATGGATCTTGTGTGAATGCTTCATAAACATTCACACAAATAATCTAAACTGACAAATTGTCCCTAGGTGTGAGTGAGAGAGTGAATGGTTGTTTGTCTCGTTTGTCTCTATGTGTCCCTGTGATGGACTGGAGACCCGTCCAGGGTGTACCCCGCCCCTCGCACAGTGATTGCTGGACATGGGCACCAGCGACCCCTGTGACCCAAAATGGAATAAGCGGGTAAAGATAATGGATGGATGGATGGATGGAATCTAAACTGACATTTTCCACAAAAATACTAATTTTCTTTAAAGTGCATGAATTTATTTAATAACTATTGAGCCTTTATAAAAATGTTTTTACTCCAAATGGATTTCTGAGTATGAATATGTTTTACTTTATTAGTTTTGCTAACTGCGCAGTCAGCAAAACCTTTGTGCGTGTCCAGGTCTCAGCTGAGCGGCCGGTGTAACGGTTCTGAGAAGGCCATCGTCACCCAGACCAACACCCCGCTGGGAACCAAACTTGTTTATGACGGGGAGAAGAAGAGAACCCACGAGGTGAACCAGGAGACGTTCAGCACCTTTCCAAACGTGAGCTGGACTCATCGGTTTCTGTCAAGATGTTGAGTTCTTCGATGTTTCTCAAGGCTTCACATATGGACCTCCACCTGTGATCAGGTGACGGTTTCTGACTGAAGTAACCGAAGGGTTGAAACAGACAGTTTGTACAACCTTCAGTTAAGAATAAACCTCATCATGACACGAGGCATCAAAGTAAAAACCGTCTGAGCTTTTACGACACTGGATTGTGGAAAGAAAAAACTCCTTTATCTCATCTCAACTGTTTGATCACGGCTGTAAATGAAGTCAAATTTATGATTTTCAAGATAAACTGTTCTATTATCTGTTCCTATTGGTTCCAGGAAAATCCCTTCTCCAACAAAACATGGCACACATGTTCTGTTGTCGGCAACAGTGGGATCATGGCAAACAGCAGCTGTGGCAAATCCATCGATTCGTCTCAGTTCGTCATCAGGTGGGTGATGACCAGGGCTTAATTTGAGCAGGATCCTGACAGAACAGGATCCGGGAACTCTCTTTATTCTCTTTATACTTTCTCTATTTTGACAGGGTGCGTTCTGGTATCTGTTTGCTTGCATCTGGTAAATCTCAGGCTTACTAATAACAAAGTTACGAACAAATATGACTGCCTTGCTTGAACGAATAAAACTTATATTGGATATGAAAACTGAAAATAATTACATAAACACTCATTTTAAACACAACAGCCACTTACGGGCATACGAGCTGCCTCTTCAAGTAGCATTCCCGTGTCTACCCTTAAAGAAAATCTCCGCCCCAAAAGAGTGGTGGGGACGAGTGCCGAGCTAACCAGGCAGTCGTATATGGTGACTTCCATAGTCGTTAGTTGTACGTGGGAGGAGCCCAAAGGCAACCGTCATGAACTGACGGACGAGGCGCCTGGAGGTTTCACATGTGGAGTTTTCAGGTTCGGAACAGTCAAGTAAGGAGGGGGGGGGGGGGCATGCTTGACAGAAGCGGTGTTTACAAATGTAAGTAAACATAGATTTTAACAACCCATTGAAATACACCAAAATGCATCTATTTTATTCAAAGTTTTCTGGGGGAGGACACCCAGACACCTCCCACCCTTCACTGGCCCACCTGCTATTTGCATTCCAACATTGATCGGTCTACAAATTAAGCCCTGGTGATGACTGCACTGACCTCTGTGGAACTGCTGCATCATAATATCTGAGGGTTTGTCGTTTGTTCAGGTGCAACCTGCCGCCTTTGCTCGACAGGTACGAGAAAGATGTTGGCGTCAAGACAAACCTCGTGACGGCAAACCCCAGCATCCTCTGGGAGAAGTGAGCAACAGAATGTGTCCTTCTCACTTTAGAAATGTGTTTTTGGTTTTGTTTCTTTACATCCGTTTTATATTTGCAGGTACGGGGCTCTGATGGGGCGTCGCAGTATGTTTGTAGAAAAGTTGTGCCAGTATGACAACTCCTTGTTGCTGCTTCCCGCCTTCTCCTTCAGTAAGAGCACGGCCATTTCCATCCGGGCTCTCTACACCATCGAGGACTTTGGAAGTCCCATCCAGCCCGTTTTCTTAAACCCAGTCTACCTTCAAAGTATGGCCCTATTCTGGCGCCCTCATGGCCTGAAGGCACCACGGCTCAGCACCGGCTTCATGATGGTGAGCCTGGCGCTGGAGCTGTGCGAAAACGTGAACCTGTACGGATTCTGGCCCTTCAGCGTTCACCCGTACAACTTCACAGACCTGACAAACCACTACTACGACGACAAGAAACCTAACGTGAATATCCACTTCATGCCAGAGGAGTTTAAACTCTTGGTGAAGCTGCACAGTCAGGGTGTGCTCAGGATGCACTTGGGGGACTGCAAACCAGAGAGTTTCAGCAAACAGAAAGAAAACCACTAAAACATTTTTACAGGCTTTACTGGGCTGAATGGGAAGCATCTGTGACAAAAAATGTCCTTTTCATTTTGACTTTAAACTTTGACGTGAAGCCCACAAAGAGCAGAAGATAAAAAGTTGCTGTTGTAAATGTCTTTAAATCACTGTCAGTAGAAACAACCATGGCCAACATGGTAAATTTAATTTACAAGACCTTTTAAATGAATTCATGTAATTTAACTCAGAGAAAGCTAAAGTTCCTGTAGAGACATCCCTGATCCAACCTGAAGAGACGTCTCTGCCACCGGCCTGCATGATCGGCTCTTTCCCGACAGGACGGCGAAGACTTCTAGCTCTCCTGGGATCAAACACTGACAAGAATAGGTCGCCAAATGTTTCAGGAGCCAGAACTCTTTCATTTCCTGACTCATTTGAGCAAACAAGACATTTGAAGATATCATTTTGTGTGCATTTTTTTTAATGTTATTTAGCAAAAAGTAGACATTTTATACTGTGTGGAGCAACTGTTTTCATCATAAATATGAAAGTGAAGGAACATTAAATGGAAAAGGGAATTGAAAAAAGGCGACTCCCAGTGGCTTTTATGAGAATTGCAACAAAAAAAAATCAAAATTGAGCACAAGCAACAGTTTTGTGTGCAGAAATGCACAATAAGAGTGACAACCTCATCTGTAATTTGGAAGAGGAAGGAGGGCCAGCTGTCCATCAATGCAAAAATAAAAAAAACTAACTTACACACAACAGAACGTAGAAAGGATTTTCTAGACCAAATGGGTGAAAGCTTAAATGCACTTTGTCTCTGCCAAGTAAAGTGCGTCTCAAAGTTTGGTGTAACATTTTTATTAGTTAAGTTTATGAAGATAATGTTTTTTTTTAATCAAGCAGATAAGCATTTTAACAAAAGTTTTTTAAATTGCCTTGTGTTGTGTCGTCGCCCTACGCAGATAATTAAAGTTCATAAAGACCGGCAATAAAAAGCAATTTTTAAAGTAAGCTCAATATTTCTTCACATCCCGATAGGTCAGCCAAACTTATCAACAACCAACAAGAATGTGTTAACCAAAGTCTTAAATGGAAAATTTGTGACCAGAAGCTGAAAACCAGGTGCGTTGGTTCACTCACAGAAACAGCCGAAGTGACTGAAACTTACTGGTCTTTAAGAAGTTTCTTAAAAGTCACATGTTTGAACGATCTCTGTCTTCAAGGCACTTCAGTGCTTGATCCCTGATATTTATTCTTCATAGTTGTCTGATTCGTTATTTCATTATTGTTGTGTTTAGCAGCAGATTTCCTCTTATACAGTAGTCCCTCGTTTATTGCAGGTGTTCGGTTCAAACCCCCCCACAGTGAGTGAAAATCCATGAAGTAGCGGCGTTATTTTTATTTTAGTATATATACAGGCTTTAAAATCCCTTCCCACACTCTTGCAATGTTCTAAACTCTTAAACCTACGTCATTTTAACAACATACATACAGTACCGTTTATGTAGCTACTAAATTTTACTCACCAGGCTCTGCAGAACAGGAGTGGCTCTCGTTCTGGTCTGACTTGGTTCTGTTTCTGCAGACCTACCTTGCAGCAACGAAGCCCACAATAAATGTTCTAAACTCTTAAACCTACTAATTTTAAGAACATGCGTATATGTAGTTTCTAAATTTTACTAGCCAGAGCGTCCCCACTCAAAGGTCCTCTTTGGCCGGTTGAAAGAAATGAAAAAAGGTGCTGGTGGGCTCTGGATGGACCACCAGACCTTCGGCCATGCGGGCTACCAGCTCTCAAGATGCACAGATAGGTCTGGAGGTCTGGTTCTGCTCCGGTTCGGTGGGTTCTGTGCAACTTCTCTGCATCCGCTGGGTGCCGAAGTCGCTGAAGTAAGCGCCAAACTTTTTCCCATCAGATCAAAATTTTCCCTCTAGTTTCTCAGCAGAAGGTTCCTGGGCGGGGAACTGTTGGCTTCTGGGAAATGTAGTTCTTATGAGTGGGAATACAGTGTAGGCTTATTGAAAGAAAACTACAAAATGGCAGCGCCTGTCTGAAGTATTTTATTTTCTGGTTAACGTTTTACTGTACAGTATCCAGTACTGTATCACATGAGTAATATTAAAGTTGACAATCATGTGTCGTGCACAATTTTATTTTTTCCTTGTGTTCAATCTTTGAAAAACCGCTATAGAGCGATTCCATGAAAGTTGAACCGCAAAGTAGCGAGGGACTGTATTTCCATCTGAGCGTCTTCTCCTCCATTCTGCTTTTGTCCGATTCCACCATATTTGTTTACCTGCACAGCCTGCAGGAAGTCCAACAGGTGATCACGTGACTCAAGCCTCCCCTTGGATTTCAGCTCGTTCAGCTGTGTGTTTTGTTTACTTTGAGAGTGGACCTGCATTTCAGAACTGCACATCACCATCCATCCATCCATCCATCCATCCATCCATTATCTTTACCAGCTTCTTCCTTTTCGGCTTGCATAAATGGAAAAAAACTCCTAGATTAATTCTTTTCAACTCTTTCGAACACCATTTCATATAGTTCATGGTTTCCTTTTTTGTCTGAAAGTTGAGGATTTTCCTCTTGAAGAGGTTGAAACTCGTGCCCGTTGTCTTGTAAATGTCTTGTGCTGATGCTCCAAACGAACACCGGCCTTTTAAGAAGTCAGGACGTCTTGTTCTGCTTTTCTTTTTTTTTCATCCTGAGACGTCTTCATAACACTTTAAAAGCACGACTGTCACAGGGCAAAGACAAAGAGCAGACGAAAGTAAGCGCGGGAGTACTTTCTGTCCCGCTCGTTTTCTTTTCTTTAGGTTGCCAAAGAAAACAGAGAAGTACATAACCGTTCCTCAGGGTAAATTTCTGACCCAAACCGCCGCCTAAATTCCTCATTTTCTCTCTGAAACAGAGTCTGGGCCGTACGACGATGTGAGGCCAAAGCTGCCAGTCATGCAGAATTGAGCAGGTGGGGTCTCTAACCCTCCCAGCACCTCTCCACATTGTCCTTTCTTCACTTTCTAAGGTGCTCCCTCCTTTGACAGGACGTTTGTCTCTCGTGGCCTCAGCCAAACCTGCCTGCTGAGAGTCAGCAGCTGGTTGCTTTGCTTCGAAGCAGCAGTAAATACCTCCGTGGAAGAACTTGGCTTTGAAGGTTGATTGGCCTTCCAAAGGGTGAGACTTGACACCGACTGAGAAACTCAGTAAATCACCTAAAATCTGTGCTCCAGCCGGGAGCCCAAGTGTTTTATGTCTGTCTGATGCTGACTAGACGGAGTCCTTCTGCCTAAGCATCTTTTTTTGCAAAGGGAGCCACGGCATGTCACAATGAAGAGCCTCAAACTTTCACAGCTTCACCTCTTTCAAGGATAACAGAATGAGCACTTCTTCTTCACGTTTGCTCCTTTTCTCCAGTTTAGCTTCGTAAATGACGTCTGTTTGGAAAGCTTCTTTTATAGTTTGAGTATTTAGGGGCACTGACGCATCCTTATTTCTCTTCAGGTGAAAATTGTCTTGTATCTCGATGCACAGCTTTGAAATAAAACGTGCAAATTATACATCAAAATGTGCAGCTTGATCGGGAATAGTGTGCTATGAGTTTAGGTAAGATTATACAACGTAGACGAACTTTACAAAAGACTGGACATAAAGAAACGATGGTGATCTGTGGTATTTTGGTGAAACACGTGAAACCCCGGCCTCTTTGGGCTCCATAGTTCTAGATTTCACACTAAAAACATCAATCCAAGTTTAAACGGGTCACAGAAAGCTGGATTTTACATGTCTGAACTGGCATTTTAACACCTTTTATGGTTTTTATCTTTCTGCTGTTTGATTACCGTACTTTCTGGCCTATAAATCACAGTTTTTTTGCATAATCTGCCTGCGACTTATACGTTGAAGCGACTTATTTATGGATGTTTTTCCTTATTTATAAACCAATTTTTGGCTGTGATATGACCGTTTTCATTCATTCTGACTGAAAATATTAAATACTAACATTTTCAACCTAGGTGAGACTCGAGTTGTATGGCGTGCTGTTGTGTCATGTAATAGGTAAAAGTGGCTATTAATGGCACAATAGGACACAATCGTCCAGCTCACCTGGAGCAACCATCAAATCAGCTTCAGTTCTTGCGCCGCCCCGGTGAAATGCAGCTGACTTGACCGTTGAAGTGCATTTGTTAAGGAAAAGTTCAACTGAGACACACCTTTACTATAATTTCAAGCGAACAAATAATTGTTTTTAAGTGTTAATCTTGTTAATATCTTGTTAAAGTCCTTCGTGCACACTCTCGCAACCGCCATTTGGCAGCCAATCGATTTTTGGCACAACACCGGGTGGTCAGCGGGGATGCATAACAAACGCGACGCGTCATGTATAATAGATGTGACTTATACGGCGAAGTGACGTGTACGGCGGAAAATACAGTAATGTGATTTTTACAGATTTTCCAGGATCTGATCGTTGATGCTGTGACAAACTTAAATTGCCTAAAAATGTCTAAACTTTAGCAAATAAACTCCTCTTACCCTCACAACTTTATTTGGCACATAGACAAATTAGACATCAAATTGTAGGGACTTTGCTCTAGGATTTATGACTTTCTCTCAAATCCTCCCAGAATAGCACGAGGGCTCACCTAAGCGTGCAGGTCCATCCCAGCTCAAAATAATCTCTTCTAAACTGGAAGTGAACGGTCTTTCTAAAGCTGTAAAAACATAAAACTTTACATATATGACCATCAATTTTCTGCTGCTCACGGGTTAAGATTTTGCAGAATTTGACCGTTTTTGTACAACGACTGATGGATGCTTAATGTTTATGCTTTATGTTTTGTGGTCAGGGAGTGACAGACACAGATGTGTGGTTACCGTATTTTTCTCAAAAATGGACAGTGAGCTTTATAATCAGATGTGCCTTATGTTTTAAATTCTGGTTGTGCTTACTGACCTCAAACAGTTTTTATGTGGTTATTGTGAATGAGCTTCATAAAGTTTGACTTATCTGATTGCTTTGATTCGCTTAAAGTGCCTTTTAATCCGGTGCGCCTTATATTCTGAAAAATAGGGTACTATAGTGACCTTAATGAGCTACTTTCATTAGCTTTAACATTTTTTAAATCGTGGTTCTCCTTATATTTAATAAACAGATTAAAAATCAAAATGTAGGTATTTCTTTTGTTTCTATTAATGCAGAAAAAGGTCGTTTTGCATCGGCGCACCTCACTCGGCTTTTTGTGATCTTCTCTTAGCCGAAGGAGTCCACAGCTGTCCAGCAGAGCTAAGAACGACGATGAAAAAGGAGAAAACACGTTTTATTACAATTCAGTCCAGAGGGTTGCCACATACATTAAATACCGAGACTTCAACACACGAGGAAACAACAGACTCTTTTTGTTCTTTAGTCTCTGTAGCCGAAGTTATAGAAAAATATACTATGTCATATTTCACATTTCTTACAGTCAGAAGGCAATTGAAATCACAAGAACCATACATATTCATACAGATTATCGTTTTAAAAGAGTTCACTTTTTTAATCATTAAAAAAAACCTTTTTGAAAACCTGAATGTTTTCATATAAAACACTGGTCTAAACCTAAAAACTGACTCCCGCTTTGGAGATTTTTATTTTATTTTATTTCAAAATGCCATTCCAAATAAAATAATAAAAATAATAATAATAATAATAAAAAGCAATATACACATACAGCGATAGAAAAAGAAGGTGACGGTTACAAAAGGGTCGACGCGGTTCCAGGGCTGGAGCAGGATGGCCACGATATTCCAAAGCTACAAACCACCGAGCTTCATAGCAGCCTGGTGTAAAATCTTGGCACTGACACTTGCATCACACAAACAGTGTTTGGTCTCTTTATTTTATAGTAATGGCTTTGAGCTCTTTCCATTACGCTATTGCAGACTTGTGCATTGAACACTGAACATGTACTGGGAAGACATAAGTGACACAAGTCTGGTCAATAGAAAAGGAACACTGTAGCTGGTTAAGGTGTTGCAGGTAGCATGGACTTCTCTCCATTGGTCATGAATAAACCACCAGGGGGCAGTCAGCTACAAGGCAGATGGAGCAACAATGAAGCAATCAGTTGTTCTGTCCATCACAATAAACAGCCAAGGAGAGGAAGAATAAGATATAAAACTGGATTGCTTATGCACTTTGCTAAAAAGATTTGAAGTAAATTTAAGTTGCACCCTCAGTAAGTACTCAGTAGCTCCTGAGCGGCAACTACTGTAGCGCTTTAATTAAAAACATATGAAAAATGCACTGAAACCCCAAACAAAACACACAACCGAGTGCATAAAACACTTTTAAAAGACACTTTAAAGACCACAGACTCTCTGCGGTAAAAAGTCGTTGCTTCAGGTGCTGCCCCTGGTTCACGTTTAATTTGTTTCATTTTCATAAAGTCATTATTTCGAGTTCACAAATCCCAGTTTTGCTTCACTCATGGCGACGCTACGAGGCTTCCTGGAAACGAGGGGAACCAGAAGAAGACAAGGATCTGCTTTCAGGGCGAGACATGTAAACGACAGAGACGGTGTGATGTTTGTGGATTGACAGCGATGGCCCAGACAAAATAACTTCACATCATCGTGTTTTGGCACGCCTATCGACACAAACACATTTAATCTCCAGCTTGCAGGATTCTTTAAGGCACAGTGGTGTCGGATCGCTCTGTAATAGCTACAGTCTTTACAGTACGAGTCCCTATTTGTTTAAATCCATACGGAGGGCTTGCCCTCTCCTGATTTACTGCTGCTGCTGTTGCTGCTGCTGCCTCCTCCACTGCTGCCGCCCTTCCCGTGCTTGACTCTGTGTTTGCGCTCCCTCTGAGGATGCGGCTGCGGTTGGGCTTGGATGATGTTACTTTGAGGCTTGTCGTCTTGGCTGTCTTCAAGTTGTTCCTCGGCCTGGTGCTGCTGGCTGTAAGCCTGGATGGCTGCTTCCAGTTGCTCGTGAGCTTGCTGGATCACGTCTTTGTTGAGAGCCACACGGGCTTCTCCTCCTGTGGGGAAATTGTCCTCATTGCTACCAAACTGCTGCTGCTCCTCCTGGGCAATGTTGGCCCGGTTCTGCTTGCATGCCATCTTAGCGTTGCTAAGGTCCGTGTAGGGAATCTGTTCTGGCTTTACCACGATGTTGTAGCCGGGTGGAGCTGAAGGGGTGTTCCACGAGAATGGGTACCCAACGTAATCTGCAGCGCCATCCCCGCCCACACCACCTTCAGAGCCTGCCTCGGGCCCCGTTCCCCCCACAGAGCCCTCCGCACCACTGTTGGCGCCCAGCAGGCCCAGTTGGAACTCGTCATCCTGAGGCGGACTCCGTCGGCGGCGGATAATGTCACAGATGGAACCGATGCCCAAATGGAGCATCTCCCAGACGTTGAGCGTGAGGCAAAGGACGGTGACGCCATACATGATGCGCAAGAAGATGGTTTTCTCTGTAGGCCGTGACACGAAACAGTCGACACTGTGGGGGCAAGGTTTGCCAGAACACACAAACACTGGTTTCACACGAAACCCGTACAGCAGATACTGGCCGGTAAGGAAGCCTGCCTCTAGCACTGTCCTCGTCACCAGCTGCAATACATAAACTCGCATCAGTCCTTCGTCTCGGATTCGCCTACGTCCATCGTGACGGATTTTAGGTCTGGGTGTTGGCTGCAGGGGATTTCGAGGCCTTTTTGGCGGTTCGATTTCTGGTACCTCATAGATCATGGGATCATCCTCCTGGTCCTCCTCAGTCTCCTCAATGCCTTTGTGTTGTCGGGCTCCAAAGCAGATTTTCCTGGGTTTTCTGTGTGTGTAGCTCCCTCCCCCTGTTCTGACAGCAACGGATCCAGCTCCTCCTTTTGCTTCATCCAGTCGTGCAATCTTATTGACAGCGTAGCCCATGTAAATGAGAGAGGGCATTGCCACCAGGATGATCTGGAAGACCCAGAAACGGACGTGAGACAAAGGAGCGAAGGCGTCGTAGCAGACGTTCTCGCAGCCCGGCTGGCCGGAGTTGCAGACAAACTTGCTCTGTTCGTCGTAGTAGATGGACTCTCCCCCAACGGCAGTGAGAACGATGCGGAAGACGATGAGCACGGTGAGCCACAGCTTCCCCACGAAGGTGGAGTGGTTGTGGATCTCCTCCAGCAGCCGTGTGAGGAAGCTCCAGCTCATGGTGTCACTGGACAGTGGGGCAGACAGTGTCCCTCTATCACTTGCTCACAGACTCTGAAAAGAAACAGAGAAAAACAAAGTTGTTGGTAAAAGCGTCTAACGTTGCAGAAGATTTCTACAAATGTTTCTGGTGAGACTGTAATCTTAGTAAAAACCGTATAATTTTTCCTCACTCGCTCTCGAGCAAAACAGATGCTTTTTACTTCCCTCTCCTGCCTTCCTCCTGATATTTTGCTCTCTGTCCTCTGTATCGGCGCTTCTATTTACACATTTTCCAAATTGTAAATTACTGCCATGGATTTGGTTAGCTGGACTTTCAACGCAATTGATAAAAAAAAAAAAAATCAACCAAGCGACAGGGTCCTGGAGAACCCTCATGCCCCGCTGAGACGCATGCAGCAGGGTACGTCATGTCTTTCTGTGTTGTCTCAGGAGGATGCCGAAGATCATTAGATTTATAACAGCAGGGTTTCTGCTTTTTGGCACTGTCGGACATCTACGTTATCGGCCATTAAGGAAGACGGCGGCAGCAGCTTCGGCCATGGCGAAGCTGCTGACCTTATGTGAAGGATTAGTTCGTGCTTTGAGCTCTCAGACTCAGCTGATTTACCGTAAGCAATTTATGATTATTGTAGGCCACTTGTGGCTTTGGGACTCGCCAGCATGTTGGGATCGACCTTGAAAGAAGCTATAAGCACGGACCAGCGGAAAGCCCACACATGGCCATTTTGGATATCGAAAGCACTCAAGTTTGACGAGAAATAACAGTCTGCACAAAAACCAACTGTGGCTTATCTGAATCTGACTTCCCCGTTTGGCCTTGAAGCAGGCTGACATCAAATGTCTCCTGGGATGTGTGTAAACTAAGAAGGCTCTGCTCTATCCATCCCCCGTGCAACCACCCCCTCCGAGAACTTCTGTGAATGCGCTTATCAGAGCTGTACCGGCTGACACCAACATTTCATCAGGACTACGGTGCTATCTGGAAGTGTTTCCTGGACAAGTCTCACCGTCTTGTTGTCAAATGCATACTGTACGTAACGCGTTTATAAATGGGCTGCTGGTAACGTTTTTTTGATTAATTAAATCGTGTCCTGACAAGGACAAGGTGTGAAGAAATCCTTTTACAACACCACTATCCTTTCCTCAAGGTCTTTCCCCTTTTCTATCTAAAGAATAAAGTAGCCGTGCTCCTAGGAGCTGCAGCCAACGTGCACTCCACCCATCTTTCGGACGATTGCGTGGAATATAATCTTGCTGTACTTCGGTGCGATGATAATAAAGCTTATTCTGATTCGTCCTGCAAGTTCAAAGGGGGTGACATAGTAAATGTTAGTGTTTCTTCTCTGAGTTGAAGAAATCACCGCAGTTCGCTCTGCTGCTCCTCGCAGCTGAAGCTCACGCACGCTGAAATCAGCTCTCTGTCACAGAGAGGTAGCTGTCAAGTCCAGACTTTTTAGGGAATTAGACGACCAAACAGGCTGCAAAGAGGATATCAGTATTAAAAAATACCATCAAGCAGAGCTGAGGAGGGGAAATAATCCAAGTAGGGAATTTGCTGTCATCAAATACACACACACACACACCAACTCCCATGCACACATTTAGTGTAACAGCCTATCGCTTTCAGAAGAACTAAATCCTCTTAGTGAGCCTTCTTCTGTGTGAGGTGCAGTTTTCAGGACTGAGTTAACTCCTCGGGTTTGGAGGTAACTCGTATTGCTGGCTGCGTAAGCAGTTTTGGAAGAGGGACATGTTGCCTATGTGGGTTAGCTCTGGGCCGCGAGCAGTACATGCACACACCAGCAAACTCAGCAGGTGGCTGGCCACAAACCATTGGAGCGGGATCTCAGACAGCAGACGCACATTAGCTCAGGCGATGGAGCTGAACCCAAACCCTGCTGTCCCTCAGGGCAGCTTTGGGGAAGAACGTGACACCAACGCAGAGCTTTCCTCCTCAGGAAGGCACAACCACACAAATCCAGAGGCGAGCAGGTAGATGAGAGAAAATCTCCCTGAAGGAGCCCTGCTCTGTGTCTCCGGCTGGAGGGGGGGTTCTGACGAGGCCTGGCGATAAAGCACGCGTGGAGTAATGATCTTTCTGCCCGTATAAGGACGGCCTCAGACCAGGCAGATGTTAGGAGTCCTTTGTGAGCATGCGAGAGCGAAAACAATCCAAACGGAGAGAATCTGGCAGCTGGAGAAAGTTTCTGTCGGAGCACAAAACTGAAGCTGAAGAAGAACCGAGCTCGGATGAACTTTCTTACATTATAATATTTATCACCGCTCCGAGGTCAGCCTCCACGTTTACTCACTAACAGCCAGTGCTTTTATTCTTTCATTTCTGCGGAACACAATGATTATTTTATCATTTTAAGCATAACAGTTTCCACAGTAATTCACTTATTTTACTTTTTGTGATGCAATATCAGCACGTTGTTCTTCTCTTTAGGTTGACTGTTGACTGCGACAGACTTTTGTCCTAAAAAGGACCTTTTATAAACTCCAGTGCTGGTGTGATTTATTCAGCCTGGATGAAGTTTTCTTTTGAATTTTTCAAATTCCAACCTACTGAGTAATGAATGTAACATCTTAGTGTATGCATATTAAATATATTAGCTGCTAACTGTGTAATATTTTAATTTTTTGCAGCCTGGTACATTTTAAAGTCAAGGGATTTCCCCTTTTTTTGCACCTTTTTATTGATGGTGAAATGACTCCTTCCTGTTTGTTTTCCAGTTGTTTCTGTCATTCTCATCTGTCAATAAGAAGTCAACACCGCAGCAGTCACCCTGTGGTTTGATATTTTTACACTTTGAGTCATGCACCGACTCTCTGGATAACCGTACACCCTGTTGGACTTAGTGTATTTTTAATTCTGGACTTAACTTTGATAAAACCATCAGAGAAGTTGCATTTCCTGCAAAAATGCAGTGTGAATGCTTATCGCAGAAGAACTTGCTGAAAAACAGCTGAAATTAGCTACAAAAACAATGCTGAAATGTAGCTGAAATGGAAGAACAAGCCTAAATTAGCTGAAGAAAGAACACGTATTTGTTGAAACGGGTTTGAATAAACAGATATAAGCATAAAAATTAGGAAATTAGCTAAAAAAAAAAAAGCTGAAATTAGTGGGGGGAGCAGAAAATTAAAGGCAGAAAGAAACTTAAACTACCAGAAGGAAACAGAGCTGAAATGAACTTAAAAAAGTAGAATTGGCTGAAAAAGCTATAAATAGCGTAAAAACAGCTAAATAGTAGAAAAAGCTGAAACTAGCAAAATAGGCTAAAAGGAGCATAACAAGCTGAAATGAGCAGATAGAGTTAATTAGGTGGAAAGTAGCTAAAATTACCATGAAAAATTAGAATTTATCTGAAAACAGCTGAAATTAGCTTTAAAAAAATGCTAAAAATGTATACAGCTGAAAAGGGAGAACAAGCATAAATTAGCAGAAGAAAGTGGAAAGAACAAGTTTGCCCAATTAGGCTGAAAGAAGCAGAAAAGAGCACAAAAAAGCTGAAAAGTAGCTAAAGGCAGAAAGAAGCTTAAGTAACCAGAAGGAAGTGGAAAGAGCAACTATTTCCTGAATGTCTGAAAAAGTTTAAAAGAGTGCAAAGAAATGTGTAATTAGCTGAAAAAGCTAAAATTAGCATAAAACAGCTTAATAATAGCTGAAATAGTAGTAAAAGCATAAACTTGCAGAAATCAGCTGAAAGGAGCATAATGAGCTGAAATTAGCAGAAAGAAGTTAGAAGTAGCACAAAAATGTAGTTAGTAAAATAAAGCTGAAAGGAGCACAAAACCGTTGAAAAAGCAGCTAAAAGAAGCTGAAAAAGTTTAAAAGAAAGGAGCAGTAAAAGGTTGTAAACAGATCTAAAGATATGAAGGATGTAAAATGAGCTCAGTTCATTTTCTAAGAGAAAAAAAAAAATCATCAGAAAAGGCCAAATATTTCAAAAAGCTAAAGTGGCACCAACACAAAAAGTCATAACAGGATTGTCCTGAAAGAGCCGAACGTTTGGATTTATGATTTGATGCTTGAAAGCTGCGAGACGAGAATCATGACGAAAAATGTATGGAAGGAAAATGGATCACAATAGTTTGAATGCTTCATAAATATTCACACAATCATGGAAAACTGTGATTATAGCCAAGAAAACATGACTTGAGTTTAAAAAGAAAGACCTGCATTAATAAAAAAGTCTCTTCGAAACAAAGAAAAGTTCTGCAGGCATCATCCAGACACTGTCAGCATCACTGAAAATACAAATTATGAAAACATTTGTGTAAAAAAAAAACACACACATCATGATTTATCACTTAAATTAAAATATTCAGCTCTGTACAATGCTACCCAAGTAAATCTGCATGTAATAAATAAACAATAATACTCTTTATGTCATGGTTTGTTGAAGGGAAATTTATTTTACTTTGTTTCCAGCTGCAAATTAAAGAAATCACACGATATGAATATATTCATTACTACTAAATTGATTATCTGATTGGGAAAAAAAAAAAATCTGAAAATATTGATAAATGTCATCATTAGTGTTTGAAATCAACAAATTCGACTTTATTGCCTCTTTTTTTTTCAAGAGACTGTTTTTATTGGAAAACCTAACAAATTATCCACTTGCTGCTTTTAAAGCAAACAAGTGGCATAAATTTAAAACCCTAACACGACTCTCAGAACAAGGAGGAAACTTTTAAGATAATTCTTATTTTGGAAAATTTGCAACCTTCAACATAATTTCCAGTGATATGATTTTTAAGACATCATGTAAGCGTTTAACTCAGATTTAAAAGCATTTATTCTTTGTTCCAAAGTCCTCCCTGACCAGGAGGGATGTTCACGCTCCGTCTCCCAACTCTTTCATACTTCTACAACCTCAGCCACGTCGAGCCAAGCATTTTGCCTTTTCATCCGATTTATGTCTGCAGGAGCTGGAGGGGCAGTTAGGGGTAAGAAGCTGACTCGGCGCATTAAGCTACCGGGGTGAGTCAGCCTTCTGAAA